TCTCGGCGGTGTTGCCGTGCTCGACGCGCTTCCAGGTGGTGATGCTCGCCACGTTGGTGTCGATCTCGAAGACGCGCAGGCGCCGCACGTACCCGCCGTAGCCGGCGTAGCCGCCGAACCCGACGCCGCCGGCGTAGCACATCCACAGGGCGGGTTTCTGCATCTGCGGCGGCGGCTGCTGGTCCGGGTGGGGTTTTGCGTCGTGCCTGGTGACGTTTTGGAGGGAGAGGAGGCAGTAGTCGTTGCAGTGGTCGCTGGAGAACGATGTTAGCTGGATGTTTTTGGCGGCGAGAGGATAAGACACTGAGAGAAGGAAAAACATACTGTCCTGCGCTGACCATGAGGACGCCCTGCTCGACGAGGGCGTCGCGGAATCCCGAGTTGTACACTGGTGCTGTGACGCCTTCTTTCCACTCTCCCACGCGGGGGAGCTCGGGGCTCGCGTATTCCGTGAGCGGGATGTGGATAAAGGCAATGTCCATGTGGGTGTGGCTGTAGTCCGAGTGAGCCTTCTTAAGGCTGGCGGCGGTTTTGCGGAACCACTCGATCTGGTTGGGCTTGAGCCAGTCGTAGCCGGGGTATTTGCGCTCGTCTGGCGAGTATGCGTGCGTGTCCATGAGGTACATTGTTACGGCCGAGTGTTGGCCGCTGCGCGCCAGGACCTCGACGTAGTAGTTTCCTATGCCGTCAATGTCGGCTGGCCCGGCGCGGGAGAGGGACAAGGGCAGCGATTCCATGAGGGCCATCTGGCGCGCGCGCGACATAGTCTTTTCGTCGTCGTGGTTGCCGAATATGCCGGCGTAGGGTATCTTGCGCTTGACTAGGAGGGATACAATCTTGAACATGGCCTGTTGTACGGGTTAGCTTTTACAAAAAGTCTGTTCGAGTTATGGGAGCTTTACGGTTGGTGCGTCGGGTGCCGTGTCGCCATTGACTTGGTCGCCGCTGAGAACTACAAAGTCGGGCTTTTCTTCGTCGAGCATCTTGTTGACAAAGTCGAGGGTTCGTGGATCTGCTTCGCATTTTCCACCTGCGTAGCCGTCGGGCACTGGTTCGCGGCATTCGCCCACGCCGTTGCTGAGATGAAGGTCGCCGATTTGCATGATTTTGAATTTGCCATTGTGTCCGATTCTGGGCTCGGGCTTCTTGCGCTCCTTGGGCGCGCCGCGGCGGACGGTGAGGTGGATGCTCAGGAGCGGGCCGCCGGTGTCGAGCAGCAATTGGGTTCCTGTTATTGCCCAGCCATCACGCGCTTCGACAGCATCGTCGCCGAAGAGGACGTCGACGTCGGTGATGACGTCGTCGGAGTCGCTGGACTTTTTGCTGCCGGACCGCTTGATCCATAGGCCGCCCGGCCGGGATTCCCAGTCTTCTTGGTTGCCTTTCGGGGACTTGGCGTCTTGCGCTTGTGCTGGGTTCAAGCGCCCGACGGATATGTCCATGACTACCTTGTCGTCAGATGTCAGGTCCTCTTCGTGCTTGCGGCTGATGTAGAGGTAGGCGGTTGACGTCCACGCCCGTCCGAGGTAGAGTTCCTTGTCAATGCGATGCCATATTGTCGGGTCGAGGTCGCATGATGAAAAGAGGTTTAGGCTCGAGCATTGCACGATTGTTACGTCGGTAACAACGAGGCCCGCGTGGTGGGTGGGCATATACCCGTGGATGGCATTGGGGAGGACCCGGTAGTTTCTGTCAAGGAAAAAGATGACGATCAAGGTGAATGCCAGCGCGGCGCCGAGCTGCGTGAGGGTGCGGACCTGGAGAGGGACGAGTTAGCATTGGTCGATACGAGAAGCTGCGGTTATGGACGCAGGCTCTACGGGAAGCGACCAAGGGATGCGGCGTACTATTCTCCGTGTCATCATGACGGAAGTGCAGCCCAGTGAGCCGTGAAGTTGTCTACGGCGTCGAGGCTGGCGAGAACGCCAGCAGCGATGGTGTTGTTCAAAGCCAGACGCGGTGCAATCTGGAGATTAACGTTGTGGTTGTGTCGAATGTGGTTGCATTTTTCGGGTGCAGACTAGGACGTGTCGCATGCAACTGATGCGGTTTCCGTCGGAAGATGAGGTGCGACAAGATGGCAATGTGGTGATGGCAATGCGGCGATGACAAGGGGGCGGCTGAGGTGCTGGACGAGATGTGGAGTGGATTTTGACCAGACGGATTAAATTGATCTGGCGGGCCCTGTCAGGCTGTCAGGCTGTCAGGCTCAAGCTCAGGGTTGTCCCAGGCAGCTAGCTGGCGGGTAGCTCGGCCTACTCCACAAACCAGACAGGTTTGGCGACATGGACTTTTCGACTTCATCTTTCACATTGATGGCCTCGGTTTGCGCCTCGCCCCCATGTCTTCATCCATGAACCATGGCCCAGCGTGTAATATATTTTGTGTATTGTATACACACTGAAGGCTAAATTATCCATCCTCTACTGCAGCAACACAATGGAGCCCGACACGGTCCCCCTGTGCCTCGCGAGAGCCATGACCAAAGTCTAATGTGCAAGAATCACCGCATTCTTGCCTTGCGGCTGGCCCTCAATGATGGGCGTCTGCGTCATACTCGCAAATCACCTCCCGTTTCCCGTTTTCCTTCATTGCAAAAGCTCTGGGTCAACTTGTTTTCCATCCACAGAGACCTCTAGATCCACCTCATCGGTTTCTGCGTCAACATCAACCCTGATCTGCAGCTCGTATGTTCCGGAGATATCTCTATCCTCTCGCCGTCAACGTTGACTCTAGCTCGTCTCCCTTTCTCTTCCGACGATAGCTCCGTCGGCAGGAGCTCCGTCTAGATAACATTCGATGACAAAGCCGGTGTCATGTCCGGTGCAACCCTTCTCCTCGTCGCCCGTTCAAACGCATACGCATACCGCAACAACTCCGCGTCCGCATAGGCCCTTCCCGCGAAGCTCAAATTCACCGGAACACCTGTATCCTCCATCACGCCCATGGTTACACTCACAGTTGGTATACCCAAGTATCGCAGCGCTCTATTTCCGTTGGAGAGTACTTGACACCATTCAAGTACGCAAATCTGGCACTGTCCTCATTGTCTTCCAGATCAGCCCTAGCTATCCCTCCGTTTGCGGGAAGTACCACCGCATCGGTTTCGTGTTGGTCCATCCAATCCTCCAAGTCGCGTTTCCGCTGGTCCTCGAGCGCCTGGAGTGCTTCCTCCATGCCGGGAATGTCAAAGACGGATGTTCTGCCGGTTTTAACAAGGTCTATAATACCAGGCTAGTAGATGGCATTTTCGTCTCGATGAATTTATCCGGTAGGTAACCTGGGGGCTTTGGGAATATCTGATGTCCGTCAACGGCGGATAGAGTGCGAAGGTTGGAGTCGTTGTTGGCCATGAGGAAGTCGTCCCATGTGTATGCAATGATCTTACCGCGCTCGAGTTGATTCCAGTTCTCCGGGGCGCCGCTCACATTGTTGGGTTGATTGGAGATGGAGTCATGTCATCTTCGTAGTTGGTTACTACGGGGAAATCCGTTTCGATGACCGTCCCGCCGTGAGCTTCTATGTCTGACTTTGCGCGGGCAAAGAGAGCCTTGACGGACGAAGATACATATGTTGGTTTAGCCTGCGGGTCATGTAGACGGATGTACATTTTGGGAGCGGCAAAGCGTCTTCCCCGAAGGGCGTTGGGATCCGCACAACTAGAGTGCTGTATAGCAGTGATGGGCGGAAGTTTGACGAATGGCTGCTCGAGCCAAAAGTCGCCCTTTGCGACGGGATCCTGGCGTGTCAGGACATCCAATGTCTGATACGTTTCTCGTATGGGGCACGACAACATCGCAGGTTGGGTAGAGCGGCCATACGCCGCGGCACGAGATGATTCCGCGGGACGGCGTATACGCCACCAGTGCGTTGTTTGAGGCTGGTGAGCGACCGGACGATACTGTTTCTGTGCCGACGCTGAATGCTGCGAAACTGGCGGCAGCGGCGGTTGCTGAGCCGTTGGAGGAGCCGGACCAGAAGGCGGCGGTGAGATAGTCTGGGTTGTAGGGGGATTCGGCGCGGCCGTACAATCCCCGTTGCATGCCGCCCGCTGCCATGGGTGGCATGTTTGTCTTTCCTATGCATATTGCGCCGGCGACCTTGAGCTGCTCCGCCAGGAAAGCATCCTCATTGGAAATCAGGTCCTTGAAGGCGGGGGACCCGGCGGAGACGGTCATGCCCTTGTACTTGAAGCCATCTTTGAGAAGGAACGGGATCCCGTCTAGGGGGCCGACAGTAGTACCATTGGCGCGTCTGTCGTCGGAGGCTGCTGCTTCATCAAAGACGTCGGGGTTGATGAGGACGACGGAGTTGAGTGCTGGCCCCCGCGTGTCATAGACTGCTATGCGCTGGAGGTAGCATGTGACGAGGTCTCTGGCGGTGATTGAGTTGGAGAGGGCGGTTTGAAGGTCGGAGATGGTGGCTTCTACCAGGTTTATCTGCATCTTGAATGTAAAGATTTGAGGAGCGAGACTTGAGGGATGGTCGCGACTTGGTGATTGCGGGGTGGAGGCATTCACCCGACAGCTCCCTGATGGTTCATAGTGGATAAACGGTCCATTCAACCCGTCCGGATCTTCTTCTGTCTAGATGTGCTGCTCTTGGTGACAAGTCGTTACATTTCGAAATACCACTTCGCGATGAGGGGGATCGGCGCCCGCGGGTTCTCCAAGGTGTTGCCGACGGGGCGTCAACGGCGGGAGGGCTTCGGGAGCGAGGGCCTACAAGACATGAATGTTGGGTGCAGGTGCTCACCCGATACTAGCCGCCCATAGTTTAGCGGTTAGGGTTAAGAGTCAGGGTCAACCATGGGAGGTGAGACCTACTATCGTTTTATCTACCGGCACTTCAGGAGCCCACCAGCGCAAGACGGGAAGTGGGGAGAAAAGCGGAAGGAGCTTCGGCACTGCTTTCCCCGGTCATGGGGCGCGCGACTCAAAAGACAGGCCACGTGCGCTGCCTTGACATGCCATTCATCTACTCATCTCCTTCGCATGGCCAGGGATCTCTTGGCGGTTAGCCTTTCGATTGCTCCGAATGGCCGGACTCACCCAGCGAGCCAAGGCTTTTCCAGCGTAAGCCAACCACAATCAATCACATCTACTCCGTACATCAACGCTGGCTTCGCCAATGCCCAGCTGCTTACGTGGCGCACAGAACCAGCCGGCCGTTCATCACACTGGAGGGGACGCAATTGCCAGACATGCGGGGGCGCGACGACGACCCCCTTTTTCCCAGATTTCAAGCATGGTTTCTGCGTTAGTCGCTTACATATCTTCATGTCTGAAGTTGTTATCAAAAGGAGAGGCTCAACTGGTGGAGAACAAGATTTCGGGGGGGAGGCCGGGATCTTGGCTTCTGCCGATACGTTACATCCGCGTCGATATATGAAACTAATCGGCCCTACGGAGCAGCTACGGGGGCACCATGTCCAACCAAATCATGGCGGCAGGTCATCTTGTTCCACTCTTGGCAACATCTACCTCGTGCCCATGGTGCTTAGATGATGTTTATCTAATCTCTTGGCAACATGAATGGTATGGCCTTGCGACAACATGACTTGGCTAGATTTGCAGTGGTGCTTCACTTTGGCGGGTCTCGAGGATAAATCGGTCCATTTGGGGCACAAAATCGTTCCCGGCGGGTCTTGATAGCGGCAAGGCGGACGCAACTTTGCGGCGTAACTGCCGGCTGGCAAGGGGAGGATAGGTACGTCCGGCAGGCACAGCTCATCACACTGCATGGGGTGCGTTGTCTCATGAAAACGATGACGATTTTGAAGATGCCGCCGCTGGAACCGCCAGCACAGAATGGCATACCGATGGCCCGTGGACCGCGAAGCAGATGATTCGCCTTGCACACAAGTACTGACCCTGTCTATAGTAGCAGAGTCTGGGTCTTAAAGACGGAAGTCGATAGAGCCGCCCCGTTAGAAGGATCACAGTATTGCCATGCCTGCCCTATTAGCCGAGTGGATCATCCGTACTTTTGATCAAACTCTTTATACAAGTCCCACATCGGCACCCGATGAATAGTGTGCGCGGCAGTGGGTAGTTTCAGCAATGACAACGAACAACTAGAACCTTGATGCAAGATGCAGTTGCTTCCTCCTCCGTAGTAGGATTTCAGCTTCAACGAAGAAGCCTCGTTTCGGTGCCAGTCATGCCCCGTGTGCTCTTCAACACAAGCTGTAGCGCAGGGGCTCCCCTGGACCTGACTCAGGGGCCTATACGAACATGATTTGCATACAAACTTTTCCCTCCTTGACAGCAAGAGATTACCGTCACCTCGGCTAGCAACCCATGACTCCCATCTCCACACACCAAGTTGGCCGTCTTGGCAAAATCCGCAAATCTCAATCCCGCTCTTCTTCAAAAGCCCATCCATCGGCTGTCATGTACGACATGGCGCCCTCAAGATCACCGCCAAGCGCTCCCAGTCATATCCGTGGCTCTCTGTCGCGACAATCAAACAATGTCGGCGGCCGTCTCTCACCACACCCGGCCCCAACCCGACGAAGCACGCTTCCCGGCCTTTTCGCAGCTCCCTGCGGAGATCCGCCACGAGATATGGCATCTGGCGCTCTCGGCGTCCTGGTCCTGGTCGGGCAACGTCTACGACGGTCGACGGGAGAGGAGGGCGCTCACGGGCGTGTTCCGCCGACAGGTCAGCCTCTCGTGCCGCGAGGCGCAGCACATCTTCAAGTCGAGGTCCGTCTTCATGGCCAGTTTTCACACGTGGATCGACGTGAGCTGCCACGTGTTCTACCTGCGCGCCCCCTTGTACCCCCGTGAGCTTGAGCGCGCTCGCCACGTCGTCTTGAACCCGGTGGGGTGGCAGATGCTCCTTCTGATGGTGGAAATGGTCAGCGAGTGCTGCAGGGAGCTGAGCACGCTTGTTGTCGTCGCGCCGTGGGCGGACCCCAGGGACTTGCCCGCCGACCAGACGCCCGAGACCTGGGCGCCGCTGGAGGACTGGAGAATGATTTGCGCTCCTCATACCATGGAGGAGCACCAAGATGGGCTGGTCCACGATATTGAGTGCTCGGGCGCCGCCGAGGAGATGAGGACTGCCGAGTACCACGCTCGGCTTTTGGAGGCGGCAGGGAGGGTTCCCAAGGCGATGCATGAGCGGGATCACGTCTTCGGCCGGCTCTTGATAGTCCTTAGGAAGCTGAATAAGGCGTTGGGCGAGTTTTCGGGCACGGCGCCGAGGCTTTACTTGCGTACTGCATCGCAATTACGAGCTTGGTAACTGTTGTGCTGGTTTGATAAAGGGGGCGGTGGGTTTGCTGGAGCATGGTCAAGTTGTACATGTATGGATTGTTGGATGCAGGAGTCAATTTTTTTGGTGTAATAGAGAATAGACATCGTAACCTTGGTGCGAGGATTAGACAGAGCGGATAAAAACGGTGGCCGAGCGGGTGAATACGGAACGTGGGCAAGCTTCCGCGTTGCTTCTTTAATCAAATGTATAATACAGGCGTCCCTAGGCATTAATTCATTCAAGGGAAAATACTCTTTGGTAGTTGGTCGGTAGAAAAATAGGGATTACGGTATTTCTGTTTATAGTATCGCGTTTGTAGTATTGTGAACCTCGGTGTTGATGCCACCAAGCGCCCCCCCCCTGGAGGGTGAAATTGAAAATAAAGCTCTAAAGGGCTCTAAAGAAGCGGCTTGAACAGGCTCGAATTCAACAGGCAGCTTCAAAAGGCTCGAATCAACAGGTCCAGGCTCAAACGCAGCTTCAACGAGCTCAAATTCAACAAGCAGCTTCAACAGGCCCAAGCCAGCAGCCTCAGCGGGCTTGAATTTGATAGTAAAAGCCCGCTGCAGGCGGTCTCTGAAGGGCCCCTAAAGGGATAAATCACAGGCTGTAGCTCTCTCTGCTTTGCCTATCCCTGGAAAACTTGCTCATTGACATCAGGGTCCGGTAAATAATGCAATTCCTTCTGACGAGAAAATAGTCCATGTGGCAAGAGGCTGCTGGGTCTCGGACTTTTGTAGTACACATCACAAAGAGGCGCAGAAGCGAAAATGACTACATTCGACCCGTAGGCCGAGACATGTCTCTGAAGTACGGCGACAAATGCGGATATCGCCGACTCTCTTTTGTGCCATTGTGGCCAAGACGTGGGCAAGTAGTCGAACCACGGGTCTCGAGCCGCAAAGTCATTCATAGATGTCCCGGTGACTCTTCTCTGCACTCGCCAGGATGAAGGCGACTGGCAATGAATGGCAGGATATTGGCCAGGCGTGTCCGTTTGACTGCGTCGAGGTGCCGCCTTTGCATCTACTCTGGCACGCTTGCATCTCGGTCTACGATGCTGCCAAGCAATGTACTAGAAACGATGGATACTACTTTTATCATGGCAATAAATAAGTTCGTATGCATATACTTACTTTTCATTAGGCATCATTCCTGCAAGAGACTTTGCTGGCGGCTACACTGCTACACTGTGACAAGGGCAGGGATACTGGGCTTGGAAGGCAATAGTTGAATTCAATCTGTGATAATCGACTTTGAGGCATCAGAGGTCCTTGGTTTTCCAAGAGGCCTTGAGAAACCAGAAATCTCAATCCGGGAGTTCGGTGTGTGCTAGAGGCTTGAGACAGCTCTCGCTCGTGGTCCAGCCTCGGGCCCCGTGATACCCCCCTTGTTGATGTGTGACTGTTGTTGACCAAAGGCCGTTTGTCATGGCCCAACCGTGTGACTTGAACGCTGCCAAAGGGACCCCCCGCCCCGTCCCGCTGCAGGAACTGCGAGGAGTGCTTCCGTGATCAATATTCTCCTGCCGGTCAATACTCATGGCGTCATGTCCGGGTTACACTGGGGCGCGTCAAGGCTCTAGACCGGATCAAAGCTCGCACGGCATCTTGAGCGAGGGGACTTGCCAAGGTGAGCACGAAACAAGGCATTGCTTGTTGGCAGGCCCTTGCAAGACTATGCGAGGCCGTCTTGTCTGAGCGAGTTTTGAACTTCGTCACGGACGACGAGCTAGCTGTGGGCTGAGGGCGGCCAAGCTCATTCTCAGCCTCGTCATGCACAGACATGGTTGGCAATGGTTTCGGGAACGTCGCCGAGGCAAAGATTCGTCCGGGGAGGGGGGCTGCTCGGATGGGGAATGGGAATCGAGGGATATACGCCGGCAATGCTACGTGGGCGGCGGGGATGCGCCGGAGATGCAAGGCGCTGCTGGCGCAGGGTTCAAATGTTGGGTTGAGACTTGACATCAAGAAACTTGAGCCGCCTCTCCGAACCCCGCCAGAGTTGATTCCTTCCGAGAGGGCTTATTTTGCAGCGATGCCCCGGCCAGAAACACACAAGACGGAAATGAAACGTCACGACTCGGACCCTCTTGGTAGTATTTTCAACATCACCGCCTTTAGTAGCCATGAAGCTTGCGTCTCTCCTCGTGGCAGCGACTGTGGCGGCCGCTGCAGTGCGCTGGGCCAACGATGACGAACTGGCTGTGATGAATGCCAACCGCGGCAGGGTCGGCACAGCTCTTGCGATGCCAACTGCTGCAGAGATGCAGACCATGGAGGTGGAGCGAATGTTCAACATGACCCCGGGACTTGTGCCTATCGGGAAGATGAGAGAGATATGGAAACACCACGGGCAAAGGGTTGATGAGGACCGACTGCTACACTGGCTGGCCAACGCGACGCGGCCGGTGCCGGATCGTCGTGGCGAGCAGCAGGTGTTGGCTGCCAACCAATTCATCCGTGCTGGCGGCTTTGCCATGTTCCTGGCATTCACTTCGGATGGCGGCAGCGCCATCCGGGCAGTCTGGAACGACTGCTACGGCGCTGCCACCAAGGACGGAACGGCAACCGGCAAGGAGTGCGGCGACAAGGTGATTGCCGCCGTCGTAAAAGGCGCCTACTCCTTCGTCATGGGCGGGACAGGGTACGCAGCCGTGCTGGCACAGGGCCAAGCGGACCCGAACCAGCCCGCCTACGAGCTGCAGAACCAGCTGCCGCCAGACTCTGAGCACGCGGCGCAGAGGAAGCGCTCGGCAGACCAGGCGTGTCCAAACCACAACGGCAACTTCAACGGCTTCTACGGAGTCAGGTTCCGTCTCGGGTCGCACATCGGCGCTAAACTGTCCGGGTATGCGGCCTGCGGCACATCGGTGTCGAAGCCCGACGAGGCCGCACAAGGCAGCTTCGGCTACCAAATCAACAGGGCGGCTGGTGACAACGGAGCGGCCAGGATCCAGTTCTACACGATCCAGGATGGTTCCAGGGCCAACATTATGGGTGGCGCCATCGTCTACGAGACCCGCGTGACTGACACGTGCCCCGAGTACATCTCTTTCGGCGGTTGCGAGGAGTAGAATGAGGTGGGTTGGAAAGAGTACAGCTCAGTGTATGCGGTGATGGAGCAAGGCTGCGTGGATTTACACACGCCTTGGCTGCCATTGTTTGGCCCAAGGATGACGGAATGGCTTGGTGTAGCGGCGTCGCTGCCATCTATGATTCTATAGTCCCTATTTTCAACAAATTTATCATCCTCGGCAACACTTGTTTACGCAGGTGTATGATGGTAGTTGCTTCACTGCCCGGAGACTCGCAGCCTGCCTCCAAGCGCAAGGCATGACGTCTGGGTCGAGACAGTAGACAGTATCAAGCCACGTGATGGGTGGGTGGCCCGTGGGCCTTTTGACCACTACTGGTATAAAGGCCATGGCACCCCCACCGGCGCTAAGCCACGCTAGACCCTTCTTTCCATTTGTGATTCAGACAACCAGCGACTCTTTGCGGGCCCCGGGCTTATAATTATCAGCTGGCGAAAGCACTCTGATCTCGGACTGCCGACTTTCAGAAGCACGCCATCTTTCTTTTCCCGGCATACTCTACTACTGGCCCTCTGCCTCTTGCCTCGGTATTCGACCGCGGCAAAGTTCAAGTCAAAAAAATCGTCGCACAATATGGGCAATCCAGTGCCAGACCCAGCACCGCAACAAAACGTCATTCATGGCCACCATCTTTTCCTCATCTTGCTTTTGCTCCTTCACGGATACTACAACTTTGTACGAACTGAAGAGTGGCTCAACGGAGCCTTGGGTCTTGTTAAAGAAGCTGTAACCATCACCGTCGTCGTCCAGTTTTGCTTCGGCAACTACCACGCAAGCCGTGACAGCAGACGTCACGCCGCAGAGCGTAATGTGCGGCGGGCTGCTCACGCGGCAAATGTCACCGGCACCGTCTTTATTGCGGTTGGGTTGATTTGGGGCTGCTACGTGCTGACGACGCACGAGGACGATGTAAACGACAATGAGAATGCGTTTAATCTCATGAACAATAGGTTGTACCTTGTGGCGCTCATGACCATGGCATTTTTCATTCGGCTTTGCTTGTCAAAGCCTGGTGTTGATGAGCTCGAGTTTTTCAAGTATGTTTTGAGGTATCCGTGGCGCTTCATCTGGCCGGCGAGACGGAGCGAAATGTTTAGAGGTGGTCAAGATGGGCGTTGGTGAACAAGGGCTGGATTTGCCATGTAGTACATGACCATGTTGTACGTTGCGATGCGTTGCCCTTGCAAGCGGGACTTGATGTGGGATGCCGCTCGACGCTGATGCGTCGAGGAATAAGATTAAATTTGGTAATTGTCATGGACAATGTAAGCATGGTGCGGGCAGAAATCACATCAAGTATTGGCCAAGGGGCGATTTAGGGTAGGGATTGGGCTGCTATTTCCATCTGTCCATCTATCGCCATCCCAAGGAGGTGGCTTTCAGTAATGAATTTGATGATAGATGCATCTACACCGCATACGGTTGTAGTTTAGAGTCGGGCCATCCCAAATTCGCCAAGATGGGATGGGCTGGCGTTTCTTTAAGAAGGCTCTCTCGGGATGGGCGAAAAAACCATCTTCCAGAGGATAATTTAAACAATTTGAGACTGGCGATCGAGGCTTTTGAGTAATAGAACAGACTAAATAATAGGACTTGGATATAATTAAATTAGTAACTAATTAGTGGCGTCTTGGAAATGTCAAGTTGTACTTTTAAACTTGACCCTCTTTCAAGGCCCAGATAGAGAAGGAATATCGGTCTTGGTCACCGCAACTGGCCATGGCTTCTTCATCTTTCGTCGATCTGTGCTCTTGCACTTGTAGTCGCATGAAACGCGTGGTGCATTACTGGAATATCGCCACCTTGACCACAGGTGCAGCAGCCCTTGCAGGTGAAGTGACGTGAGAAGTGGTCGTGGAGTCAGCTGATCCAAGTTGTTCTGAAGTTTGATTTGGCCTGCTATAATTCAAGTTGGCTGCTGCGATTGATAATAGGCCTAGTCTCTGTTCAAATCTAGCAAAGTGGCCTCGCAAACGCTGGTGGCGCGAGAAGGAGACTGGGCAGAGACAGCCTTGCCACTTTCCATGCGCGTTTGGAGTACCGAAGACACCAAGTTTGCTGCTCGTAGCCGATGTGTTTACCGCTTTGTAGGGACCTCTGGACAACCAGACCCAAGTGTTGCGGCCGTCGACTGCACTCGGCCAGGCTTTGTCAGCGACTCGTGAAACGTGAGCGTATATTGCCCGACTTTTGTAAAAGGCGACCATTCAAGACGACAATTGTAAAGGGGCTGGAGTCCATTGAGAGCAGTACCGCGGTTTGAAACGCGGCAAGATGTGTAGATGGCGCTTTGATGTGTACAGTAGGCTGTGATGACAGTTCCATTTGTTGGCTATCCTGCCGTTGAGGACGAAAATGACGCCCTCGAAGCGGCGTCGTAGTAGCCTTCAGAACAGACGACCAAGTGTCGTTCCACCCCATACTGCTTACCGATGTCTGTGAATCTTGCGACCACAATATGGGCTTTGGAAACCCGGAATTGCTGCAAATGGCCATAATGTGCGCGAATGGGCAACCGCATGGCGGGCACAGCTCTCCGATGTACGCCGCATGAATCAAGACTTGTCAGAGCCATCGGCGAAGCTTTATTTGCAGCCGAATTTGCAACCCGAGGAACAGTTTCTCTTTGAGTTTACACCCTGTGCAACATGTACACCCGTGAACCAACAGAGAAGTGAAATAACTGCGACGTAGACTGCAGCCATGAACTGGGAGGCTAATTCTTCCAGAGCTCTTCACTTGGCCTCAATACTTGCGACTTTCTTGTGTAATTCAACCTGCAGCTTGAAAATTCTTTTGCGTTACCAGTGCCAAAGCCAAAGCCAACCGACAGTGACAAGGCCGGCAACTCGACTTGCTTGGCCTGACGTACTCATGTAGCTCTTTCAACTGCTCCCACGTCCGTAACGCCATAACGACTGTTCTGGAGAAGCATCATGACAGGATACAAGCACTTCTGAATACAGGCAGCGATGAGTCGCGTGGTTTCCGGCACTTGGCATGATTATTTGGGAGTCGTTCAAGTGGCTCTTGTTTGGCAATCATTCATAATTCGCCTTCTCAAGTCCGGCATTGGCGGTTGGAGTATCCGGAATTGACGAGTGCTTGTACTTGTCCCGTGTCGGCGGCCGTGGCCATTGCCTAGACAGCAATTAATAAGTGTGACACTATCCGGGGACTGAATTAGACGGTAGCTAGTAGATACTGCCATCTACATGCCGTGAGGATGGTGTTGGTCAAAGGGCGTAACCGGGCTCGGTAACAAATCCTTGAGCAATGAAGACACACACCCAGTGACGACGAGTTTTTCTGGCCTTGTACAATATTCACACAAGCCCTTTGTGTCACCAGACGGCAGTGAACCAAGACACATTTCCTTCTCCGCCATATCTTGATGAAAAGTAAAAGGGGTTGCTATAGTCTTTTTTCAGGTTCACTTCATTTGCCTTGGTTCCATACCGCTTACATTCTTGATTACAGAACAAGCCAGAAGACAAAGCCAACTTGGCGCAACAAGGACCTTGGCATGACGGCCGTCCGAACAAGTCTGCGACAAACGGGTTTCCATGGCCAGTGCTCGTTGCAAACAATTGACAAGCAGCTCTGAACCACAACAGGATTAGCGCGCGTGACTAAGCCACTCGTCCAACCACACCGCCCAGCCATCTCCGCCACAACGCGCCAGGAACGCGCCCAAGTTCGCCGCAAGCTCACCCCAAGTTCACTCATCATCCCTTCACAGTCGCCGTTGCTCCCGAATCAAAGCGCCTTCTTGTCCAGTCCCTGTCCCCCGCATCTTCACTCCTTCGCCCAGCAGCGCAAAGCCTGGACACCGGCTTCGTCCCACCAGGCGGCCCTTTTTGTCCGCGCCTCGCAGCTCATCGCACCAGATACATACCCGGCGCTGTTCCTCCGTCGCACGTCCCGTCCTCTGCGAAACGCTTCCTCCCATTTCCAGACGGCTTGAGAGAAGAGCAGGTTGTGCGCGCCGCCCACTACGCCGCTAGCAGCGAAGCCAGACATACCCGCCACCATGACGGATTACAATGCGCTCAAGGTCCCGGAGCTCAAGGCCATCCTGGGCCAGCGAAAGCTCCCGCAGACAGGAAACAAGCAAGCGCTAATTGCGCGACTACAAGAGGATGACGACAAGGCCGCCGCTGGTGGCGAGGAGGCCAAGCCAGGTGAGTTTTTGTTTTCCCCGTGTATCCCCCCTACCGTGGCCCTGGCTATAAACAAGGCCAAGGCACCGTCAGAAGTACGGCTTTGCCAACAAAAAAAAACCTCGCCAGAAGCCGCCAAGCAGGACGAAATCACCTACAGCGACGACGAGCCCGGCGCATCCAAGCCCGCTGCAGAGAAGCCCGCCGCCGCAACGGAGCCAAAGCCCCAAGAGCCAGCCAAGGAGGAGGAGGTTCCGGCTCCCACCGACGCCGCGGCCGCCGCCGAAAAGACGGATGCCGCCGAGCCCGCCGAGCCCGCCGAGCCCGCGCCATCGTATGCCATTGGCCTCGCGTCAACCGCCGCCGACGAGGAAGCCAGGAAGCGCGCGGAGCGAGCCAAGCGGTTCGGCATCGAAGAGGACGAGGATGCCAAGAGGCGCGCAGACCGCGCGAAGCGCTTCGGCCTCGACCAGAACGAGCTCTCTTCCAGTCTGGACTCGGCGCTGCCGGAACGACGCCTGAAGCGCGGCCGCGGCCGCGACGGCGACAACCGCCCCGCGAAGCGCCAGAGCCTCGACGGGCGAGGACGCCCGGGCAGAGGCCCCCGGCAGGGAGGGAACAAGGAACGCGGCGGGGGCGTTTTGGACGATGCCGCCGAGAGGGCCAAGGCCGAGAAGAGAGCTGCCAGGTTTGCAGCTGCCTAGGCTTCCACGGTCCGAGGCCCACCCGTCAATGGAGTTTGCAGAAACCCAGAAATGCGGTTCAGATGGGGACGGAGATTTTCTTTTTACTTTTGTACGACTAGCGATCGGGAAATGGATCGGGGAAGGGGGGGAATAACGGCGTTGAGGGGCGGGAAGGTTTTGAGACCAAATCAACGGGCAGCACTCGGGTCAGGGAACTGTGAAATGACGAGCATCATTCAGGCCTTTTTATTCTTCTTTAATCTTGTTCGTTTGTGTATACAGAGTTGTCGGTTATCAAAATCAGGTCGGGTCCAAGTAGAGATGCCATCCATGTTCGTCCCGTCGTGGTACAGAGATATGCAAGTGATGCGGGCTGCATTTATTGCCCACGCACCAGCAGCATGTGGCCTGGCTATGGAGAAAAGACGGCTTGCCGTGCTTGTTTTCCCTCTGTCCCGGGCCAAGGAGCCTGTTTATCGAGGATACTGGCCGAGTCGACGAGCTGAAACGGGCCGCCTTGCTTTGCCAGCTGTGCGGACATGAAGAGCAATAACTACGAGCCCACACCGTGCCGGTGCGAGCTCTCCAACTAGGGATGTTCGGCCGAACGCGGGGCACAGGGCGTCGTTTAGAGACAGCCTGGATGGGGTCGCGGCCGCAGGGAACAAGTTAGTTGACATGATATGACATGTGGCATTCGTGGTTTTCGGTGCAACTCCCCACGTTGCATTGGCATGACTGCCCAAGGCATCGACGAGGTCCGGGGATGGGTTTCAAAGCTGGCACGAGGGCACTACCAGAGTCCAGGCGTGACGGAGTAGGTTGGATCTCATTAAACTTTTTTTTTTCCCTTCTTTGCAGATCGAACGTCTATTTTGCGCAAAACGGAAAGGGCCGCGAGGCCAGAACAGCGCGCCGCTCCGTGACGTTATTACCCTTGGTCTCTTGACACCGTTGCTTTGCCGCTTTCGAGTTGGGTATGCCAGAAAGGTCCCTGCGTGTCGTCATCCTGCCGTCTTGTTGTTTTTTTCGCCGAGTCACTTGCTTCACTCTCCTCGAGATGGGCACACCAGCCGCTCGCCTAGTCCCCAAGAAAGGGCCATTGCCAACACGGGCGCGGCGTAACACCCCGGCGAGCAGGTCTATTTGGCCCGTGGGGGTTGGTGAGATAGCCGCCAAGATGGAGACAAGGCGTGTGACGAGAAGCAGAGCTCGCACGAGACACACAAGCCACCAGATCAGACTTGGACTCAACGACAAATACTTACCAGGGGTCAAAGACTGGCGCAAATGAGGCGCCTCTTTGCGGCTGGTCTTATTCCCGATGCCTGGTATCCCTTTGAGTGTGTTGAGGTGCCAGCGAAGTCCCTTGCGGGGATAATATCCAATGAGAATTAAGAGTTAAGTAAGTACATGTTTACTCACGTATTTATTGTGATAATAAAAGTACTATTAATTATTCTTAATACATTACTTGATAGTATTTAATTAGGCCTAGTACAGGTAGAAATACTCGACAGGGGTATCTGGAGTAGATACGGAGTACAAAGGCGGCACCTTAACACATTCAAAGGGATGGGCAGACTGGCGTCTTCCTTCCACCGTCGCCACCAACCGGTCTCGGCAGAGGCGCTTGCCTCTTTCTTGTTTCGTAGTGCCAAGAGCCCACACGCGACAGCCAGCCACAACGTCGGCGTCTGATATTGAAGGCCAGTTGACGTCTAGCCAATTATTCCTCTCAATTGGCCATCAAGAAGAGCACGTGAAGAGTTCAAGATGTGAGAAGCCGCAAAACGAGGCAACTACGGCTTTCATGGTTGTAGCCCTCGTCACCAAATCAGTCAACTCGATTCGTTTGAGGACTCCCAGCCTATAGACCAACAGCGCCAAGAGGATCTGGTCCTTGGTCAATGATTGGACAACTTTCTCATCTTCAGTCTTCAAAGGAGGGCATAGGTCAGTCACACAGCACATTCGCCCTCTCCATCCATTGTCAAGTCGCTTCACAGCCCACACAAACGAGTTATCCCAAATTGGCAAGGCGAAGCGTTGTCGTCGTCCCTTGAGTACCGAGTACATGGATCTGAAAATTGAGGTGCATATGCCGACCACAAAAGCGTCAATTCCCTGGCTAGTCGCTTTGCAGCCACAGTGACGGTGAGCCCTTCTTGGTTTAGACGGCCAGAGTCTCATGCTCCAGCCACAGCATGTGTGCCACGTCAGAGCCTCAATTCCATCTCGTCGGTGGCGAAGCTGCGATGGGAAAAATACGTTGACGTGTCCCAAATCGCCTCGCCTCTGCAGGCTGCCTCTTGGTCTTTCTTTTTATTGCCACTCGATTGACGACCCGGGGCATGCAGGTCTCGCAGCAAGGATCCACGGAGCAAGAGCCTTGCCGTCGTATTAGACGCGCATGCGCATGAATCAATCGCCACTTTGCGGGCTGCAGCTTTCAGCTTGGCAGGAGACGCCTGTCTGCATTTCGCATTCCGTCTCACCGGCGAATATGTCCGTGTCGAATAACTGTCGCATGCCATGATTTGTTATCAAGGATGGCGAGACAACAGTCGAAGCCAGAGGCGGGATCAATTGTGGAGTACAAATTAGAGCGCTGTCACCCGGGAAGGAGCTGGACAAAGGTGAATCGAGTGGCGATGGAGAAGGCCATGATTGGAAGGAAAAGACGGTCCTAGTCACCAATCAGCAAGCTTGAAATATGGCCACGTCTTCGGTTGGCTGACCAGTGGCAATATTCAGCGAATAAGCATCGTGGAAACTCGCCATTCCTGGGAGAAGCAAACGGGACAATACACTTCTTGTTGTCAAGGCAGGAGCGGATGGCGTTTGACATATTATGTGAGACCTTCCAGAATTTCATATCCGAGTACGGGGATTGCTGCAGCCAAAAATACGACAGGAGACGGGAGAGAGCCCAAAAAAAGACGTATTGTACAACTCGTTTGCTTTTTGCCTTGGACAAAGCTGCATCATAATTCATCAGCACGGCTTCCGTGGAAACATGACGCCGCGGATCAGAGTGCCTTACGGCCTCTATCGGCCACGAGTGCGAGTCGATGCGCATTCCCTTTTCAACCCGATGCGGCAGACCAAGCAGGCCATGGACGAGTCACAGACTCAGAATCGTTAAAGTCACTCTGTAACATCCGCCACTCATTCTGTCATTCCTGTACGGGCCAAGACAGTCACGACCTCGGTGTTGGAATCCACCGTCAGTGATTTTCATAGTATTGCGTCGGCTCCAAGTCACGAGGGACATTCATTGCTCTCACAAGACGTCCTCAAAAAACCTTTAAGTGTGTTAAGGTCCAAGCGAGGTATCTGGCCCACTTTTCTGCGATACCTAACAGGGACGTCTTTGGTGACAGTATCAGCTATGATAGGAAGATGTAGCTCTTTGTAAATTTAATTATTACTGGTACTTATACTACTATTATATTACTTCTCAAGTGAGAATTTGTACCGTTTAACACGGTTTTTCTCATTGGCTAGAACCCCTGCCCGGTACGAAAAATGGACCTTAACACATTCAAAGGGATGGACCTGACTAAACCCGCATCTTGGAGGCTTGTGGCGCCCATGTCCGCAGCGCGGAAAAGATTGGGGTCCAAGGCGAGACACGCGCACCAGACGCTAGAAATGAGACATGCAGGATATGCGTGTCCTAGACATGCCGCTGACGAACAAGGACTGTCAATGGCTCGTCGAATGGACAAGCAGAAACACTCAGCTAAAGCTTGACACAAGGGGCCCAGCCGAATCGATTGCAAATGCAAAATAGTTACCATCACAGGCCTACACCGTAGCTGTCATCGGCTCCTGCTCTCGACCACATAGTGTTTAGGAAGAAGCAATCGCCGAGGACCCAGCTCTGGGGCAGAAGTCCGTCAACACAATACAGGCCCAGCATGGGTTCTATTGTTAGTGCCGCCACGGCTACTCCGATCCACCAGGGAAGGATATCGCCCTCTTTTCCACACCTTAAACCAGCCCTGGGTGGCAGAAAACAGGAGACACTCTGTCCATGTAAGTGAGTGGTGAGTGTCTCGTGTTTGCTGCTACCTGTGTGCCTGCTTTGCCTGCAGCCATCACCCCCTCCCAAGGGAATTGTTCTCAACGACATCCTTGCTCCTCTTGGGAGCTTCTCCGTCTATCCCGAGCCAGTCGCTCACCTCCTGGTCATGACTGCTAGCACCGCGTGCATCATCTCCTTCCGAACGTTGCTCCAAGAAGCCAACTCGCCTGACCCGTACCGTTGGCCTAAGCCTCAAGCTAAATGTTGCGGGCGGGCAGCGAGCGGGCCACTCCTCACCGTTGCTCATACTACTCCGTAGGGATTTCCCCAATACACCAGACATGGACACGTCCTAGGCAAGTACCAAAAACCAACATGATCCGGTAAGGCGGCTGGCAGTCCAAACAAGGTACCTCTAGGTAGCTGGGGGTTTTAGGCTTCGGCAGGCCCACCAACCCGGGCGCCTTGATGGAGATACATGGCCGCGCTCCTCCAGGCGCTGAGGCCATATGTCGCATGGCCAGGGCAAGGGCTCGACACCCAATGGTAGCCTGAACGGGCATCTTTTCGCTTTTTATAGGATGATGCCGTATGCAGCTCGCAGGGCTCTTTTTGCAACATTCTCCATACATGAAGGCGCAGTTGCATTTGCAGATTGCAATACGCTTTGCGCTTTTCCGTTCCACACCAAGGACTGCCCAGTCGGGGCGTACCGTCGTTTTGATACTCCGAATGGCACAATCCAATTCGACGCCTCTGCCATATCCTGGAATAGCCATGCACTCACTGTCGGACGGCATGCTCCCCAAGCATGGAGTATGGGATATGGAGCACTTGGTACCGAGTACATGAAATATAATCAATGCCTGCAGTGGCCGCTTTATGGGCTAGACGGCAGCTAGGGTAACGCACCACTGGCAAATATACATACAACAATAGCGAGTGTGTATCTGACTGCATCTGCTCCCCCAGGTATCTGTGTGTCCCCTTCCCATGGCCGCTCGTCCATGCTGAAGTTCGGATAAACAGCCTGCGTGGGCACGCCGGTTCATTTCATCTTCACCAAAGCCTCGAAACTCTCTCTTTGAGACAAAGAAAAAGCAATGGGCAGTTCTCATGTTATCCAGTCTTCTGGCTGGACTGAGGCAGCCAAAGTAGTCTCCTCGCACTGCTTTCACACACGCCACTCTCAATGCTCCTCGGCTGCTGATCTTCCTGCTGGCCTACAGGGTTGTCGCGGCGGCCCGTTTCTTATGCCCATTCTCGTCACACGCATAAATCCGACGAGACTAATCCAACCAGGAAGTTACATGCAAGCCTCATGAAATCTCTTCAAGCAGGCGGCATAGTCCTGTCACTTATTAGACGCGGATTGTTCCCACCATCCTCTTCAAATGGTTACCTTGATCGACTTCAGTCTAGCCTATTCGGCCTTTCCTCAGCATGGGAACATGCCATTTTAGCCACCCCACCCAAGTACCTGTCTACACATATCCACTGGCTTACCCCCAGTCCTCGTTTACACTCCTGTGTAACTACCTCGTTCTTTCGACCCGTCTTTTATCCTCGCCTTTGCGAATATTCCTTTCTTCGTCTATATCCTTTTGATTGGATTGTTTGGTTTTCTCTGAATATTAGCCAGCGATATATGCCTCTGTTCCACGACCTTCACGAGTATCCAACGAGTACCAGTTCATATTTATATTAGCTAATACCACACCGCTTCAGAGTAAGGACACGGCAGTTCCGCGCAGCAAAGGTACAACAACCCTGGGCCTTCAATTCTTGACGAAGCAACTATACGACACCTTTTTTGATGCTGCTGCCGATTGTTGAACAAAGGTTGCTAGATTGCTAGATTCAAGGCCCTGAGAAGACAACACTTGATACCCGGAGATTTTGTTCGTCCACCAAGCTTCGCTGCTTGAACTTACCAAAGCCTGCATCTTCCAATTTAGCGCTATGAGGCTGTGAAGCATTGAGAGGCATGTATGGGACATCAGGAGAGTCCAGAAAGGCTGGAATACTATGGCATCATTCAGGAAAGGCTACGGCCTCCCGACTAGGCCTTCGGACGGAGATCGCGCACAAAGGAGCGAGGACGATATTCTCCATGGCTCTGTTCCTAGACGGATAAACCCAACATGGCAAAGTGATGCCAGTGTACCTAGATCTGCGAGGCAGGCAAACTCTCTGCCGAAGATAGCAACTAGACTACCGCAACCCTACTCTACGCGAGGGTCAGTTCTTCCCCGGCCATCGTCCAGATCAGCGTCGGATATGCAAGTCGAGACATCTAGCGCAAGCAGCAGAAAATCATCGGAGACCTCAAGGTCACACAATCAAACCACATCAGGCTCATCGTCGTCTGGCCGGTCCATGGATGCCACATCAAGGATTAGGCAAGTCTCATACAAGAGGCCTAAGCTGTCACCGCCTCGCGATTTTGGCTCCCCTCACAAGGAATCAGGAAGTGCTAGCTCATCAGCCTCTGCCAAACTATTGCAAGGTGCTTCGAACCGACGACCGGTGATGCAGTACGATCGAGAAATTACTGCAAGCCCCGTTGAGATGCAGATTGCTGGAGCAGGCGAGGTTGGAACATCGCTGGCACAACCGCCTGTGATATACCCTGAGCTCGATCGATATCGTGACTTTCAGCGGCCGGAAAATGCTTTGGACCGACCCGAATTCGACGTCCCTCATCGTTTGGCAACGCATGACTTGCCGCCGCCAACCCCATTGTCGCAATTATTCTCCGGTGGTAGTAGTCAGATTAGTGCCGCCAGCGAAAGCCCTTCAACCAAGTTCTCCGAGTCTCCCGGCCCTGGTCCGTACAGTCGGGACACTACGCCAACTTCAATGTCCTCGCAGTCCCCCGTCTTTGTTGCTCCGAGCAGAGTAGGCATTCCACACAGAAGCGGCCGACAGCACAGTGTATCAACAACGAGGCCTCCTGTCACTAGAAGGCGTGCTGGAAGCTTTCCCGACGAAACGGCTATCGATCCTCACGGGCTAGCATCTGTCAGAGAATCCCTGACCTCGTCATCTTCCAACTCTACTGTGAAGGAAGGGGATAGAGGTACGAGGAAAGAAAAGGCCAAGACCAGGCATTTATCGCCACCGCCACCGAGCCCACCACCTAGAAAATCTTCGCAGAAGTTTTGCAAACCGAAAGAAGGGAATGAAGTTTCCATGCCAGCTAAACCTAACATCTCTGAGCCGAGTGAAATCCCAGTTGAAAAGAAGCCACATAGTCGCACATGCTCCGAAGCATCATCGTCCCCGCTTCAGACAGGGCCTCCGGCGCGCCCAAGTCGCCATAACACCCCCGACATGAAATCAGAGCTGTTTGGCCCCGTTCCTGTGATACAGAGTAATTTGGTCTCAACCGTACGGACTCCAGAGCGACGTGGTAGTGATGCATTGGGTACTACTTCACTTCCAGGATCTACGACGTCCATCCCACAAGCCCACCGAAATGCACCGTCATCAAAATTTTCCCTCGGGAACGAAGGCTTTTTGTCCTTGTCAAGGTCCCAACCAAGCTTTGACAAGCTGAAGGGGCAAATGACGGAGCCTAATTTGTCTGGTCAAACTACACAGTCCAGGGCTAGGTCGTCATCTCGAAGCCGATTCCCGTTTTTCGGGAGGAAAAAGACTGCTTCCGAAACTTCGAAGAAAGATGACCGGCCCGACAAGAAAAACACCAGCCGAAAAGGTCCGGCAGCAGGGACGGGGCATGAGGGTTATGGTCGTCTTGGTGCTATTCGACGACGCAGTGGGAGTGGCTCTGTCCTGCCACATGGCCTTACGGACCCCGTGTTCGCAGATTCTTTTTTTGCTACTAGAATGAATCCTGTCATCATTTCTGGTGGCGAAGTCGTGGAAAACCGAAATGCCAGCGCAGAGCTGTCTCGTTCGGAGACCAATCAGAGCACGCCAGGTCGTCCCAGCATAGATTCAAAGAATTCTTCTGAGGGGTCGTTGACCTCCCGCAACGAGTCCGGCTCTGGACTTCGACCGTCAGCTTTGCCCCGGTTCCAAACCTCCAGCCCTCGTCAGCCTCATGGTGGTTTTGGGTCTGATGAGGTTGGCATGGAATCGACCCTAGCATTTAGACGATCTGTGCAGAGACTCCGATCGTCTCCATATAACCCCATACGACTTCCTGAACCTCTCAAAACTAGCGGCCATATATCCCCATCGCCACTTACGAGCCTCGATACTAGTCTGCTATCAGATGAATCGCATGCAGAGTTGACACGGGACCTTTCGCAACAGTCAGAAGGACTACATCCCCTTCGCAAAAAGCTCAAGAAAAAGACACGGTCACCGCGAATATGGAATTTATTCAGCAGATCACAGAGTCAGTCCAATACCAAGAAGACCCAAAGCAATGAGAATATTCAAGCCACTGTCAAGGCCGTGGATAAACGCCCTGTTGCATTTTACACCATCATGGACAATGTAGAACAAGACGAAAATGGACCTATGGACGTTCAAGAAGCATTGAGACAAGCCGAAGTGTATGAAAAGATACCAAACGTGGAAAGCGTGGAAAACTACAAAGAATCAGTTGTCCAGTCTTCAAGACGGCTCGTGACGGATTTTCCCCCACAAACATCTTGGCAAGCCTCCTCAGACAGTCATTCTAGCACGACAATTTCCTCGTCTTGTGGAGCAGAACCTGCTTCCCAGACGGCCACAAGTGGAATGAATAATAACCAACGACCCAGTCGGCTTCAGCAAGTCGGTCGAATTCCACAAGTTATCAAACAGCGAAAGGAAAATGTCTCTCCTCAAAGCTTTTCACGTCCCTTTCGCGCTAGCTTACAGTATCCCTCTATAAACACAGCAGAAATTTATGATCCCGAGTCCATTGCCACTGGCCCTACACCGCCAAAGCCCTCAACACCTGTCCCAGCACTGCCTGGAAAAGGCTTGGCCTTGGAGAGCGGGACGAACTCCGCCTCATACTCCAACTCAATCTCAAAGACATCTCCGGAAATCGGTCAACCTGGTCGGGAGTTCCTGTCTTTCTCTCCACGCAAGAACTCTGACGGCACCATTTGCACTAGCTCCACTAGTTCCGGGGGTGCGAACCCCTTTTCCATGTCGGCCACGGCAGTTATCCCAAAGCCAGAAGACCCGCCGGCCGAAGATGAAATATGGGATGAATACGATGACCTGCTCGGTGATGAGGTGATGAAGGGGTCGCGGTCTGCTACATCGTCCAAAAGTGTACCATTCCACTTGGAAACCTATCAACAGAAATTAGTAAAAGGTAAAGAGCTTGATTTTCCTACTGTTTCTGTTGATAGCCGCAAAGTATCGACGTATTCGAGAGCACCAACGCATTCCAGTTCTCACAGTGCAGACATGACGGAACGGATTCGCGCCGCCTTCCACCCCAAGATCAGTCCTACATCTCTAGGCACACCAGGTACACGCACTGGTGACGTACGAGCTGACAAGCCAGCGGACTCAGAAGGGAGTCTCACTTCCAAAAGAGATAGCTCTTCATCTTGCCGAACGACGTCCTCCGACGGTACTTCATCCTCGTCAAACGATGGGTCGCCTTTAGCGCAAGTCAATCTTCGAGTCGGGTCGATGACTGTCAGCAAGTGGCTTACATTTGGCCATGTGCTATTTAGCGACGTCCGACACAAGTTGACCCCTGTAAAGTCTTCCTCTAAGCAGTATTCCGTCCTTGTCATTGACGGCCTTGGGAATGATGATTGGTCATTTTACGCCGCGGAGACGTACCCAGATGCTTCGTTCTTTAACCTTTCTCCTCGGGCACCGCTTCCAACTGAACTCGAGAATTCGTCTACCGGGTTCCCCCTCAGCCCGGCAAACCACCACCAAGTACAGTACACATCTCACCTGGAAAAATTTCCATTTGCACCGCAGAGCTTTGATGCGGTGGTGTATCGGTTCCCAATAGCTGCTTCCGAGGCCCACTATCGAAATATTTTGAATGAGGCACGGCGAGTTCTTCGCCCAGAAGGATATATCGAGCTTTCGATTCTGGACTCTGACCTGAACAACATGGGCAATCGCGGTCGACGAATGATTCGACAGCTTAAAGAGCGAATTCAGCAAAATGCCCCTGACACGACATTTGCATCTGCTTCTGATTTAACAGTACGCTTGCTAGCCAAGGCAGGATTTTCCAACATCAAGGCTGCTCGAGTTGGAGTACCTGTGACCAGCTCAATAACGCGGTCGAGCAACCACATGTCGGAGAGCAAGCGTGGATCTGACAAGACGAAGAAAAACCATCCGAGTTTGGCAGAGATGATGCGTGACAATAGTCCACTAGCGGATGCAAACATAACGAAGATTGTCACGCGGGTTGGTCGTTGGTGGTATACCCGCTGCTATGAGAACGCCTCCGGTGTCAGTTCTGATGGCAGCATTTGGAACGACAAGATATTACTTTCTGAGTGTGAGCAATTAGGCACTAGCCTTAAGCTGATGGTATGCTGCGCGAGGGCACCAGAACGGATCGCCAGCTTCTAAAGCCACGCACCGGGCTCCAGTCGCCATTTTTGCTGTCCACAAGTCCATTACTTGCTTGCAATATCATATGGGGCCAGCTTTTTTTTTTTCTCACTTACAACAGTTGATTTCGTCTTTCGATGGGATTGTATATTCAAGATGGCATTACAATAGACGCAAGCCATCCTTCGCCGGGCACCATTTCTCACGAAATCAGCACCGTCAAATGAACTTGCATGGCGCAACTGCGGGACTCTTCCCCAGTCTCTTTATTTTATTTTTTTCTTCTTCGGATGATCTATGGTCAGCTGAAATTTCAGCTCACCCCTAGTACACATCAGTTTCCTTACAATTCTCCAAGGTCACGCCGAGCTTGTTTCTAGGAATTCCCGTCTCCTATTTTTACCTTTCAGCTGGATTGAAGGATATGGCATGGTCAACTATTTCTTGGTTTGGGTTCTTATTCTGTTTTTAATTTGAGCCTTTGATTTACGTTTTCTCATAGTTGTCACTCAACAGATCGGGGCATGGTCATACCAAGAACCGAGTGTGCGGGTTTTAATACTTGCGAATGGGGGGATGGACGTGGGCAATGCTGGTCATTGCACTCTCCCCTTTTGGTTCTCGGGGGATAGCAGAGTGCAGTGGACTTGAGAACTTGATTTCAGACTACCATATGTACCGCGAATCGTTATCAAGGTGGAGCACGGCGTGCATGGAGGGCATCATTTGATGGTTGAGGTTGGCATTGGGAATTGAGGGCATTTATGACATGTGCATGAGAGATACCCGTCGTCTTTATTTGGGTAGCGAGAATGCTTAGCAAGCGTTTTGGTTTTATTTGCTTAATTTATGAGCTGCAGTTGACGTGATGACTTTGTTTTCACGAATATCCTAGAAATGAATTGTAGAATGCAGCTTAGATGGCAAGCAACATATCTTTTGTACACGGTAACCTACTACCTAGGGTACGTAGGTATCTAGAATGCAACCTATACTACAGTTTTGATAGTGTCTACATGGGTATCATGTGCCTTCATCTTAATCCTCCTCTTGGCTCTCGTTCCGCTCCCCGTCATTCTCATCTTGCCGTTCCTGTTCCTGCTCAATTGGTTGCTGACCAGCAGGCCATCTTCGCAAAACAGCCACAAACCCTCCGCCAGCAATGCGGTCGCCAACCTTGGGCCGCATAACCTGTACGACTTTGCCATCCCCGCCTTGCGACGCCTTGGGCACAACAGTCTTTACATCCCAGTGCCTACCGCCGCCGGCGTCATGGACACCATCGGACGTGGTCGAGACTGGCAGCTCGAGAACCTTTTCCAGGCGGACGAGCTGGCGCGTTTCGGCGGACCATTTCTGGAAATCGGCAATCTGGCTGATGGAAGGCTTGAAGAGGATGAGGAGTCCATTTGGTAGCAACGATTCAATTACACGCTGTGCGTTCTCGTGTGCGGACGGGAGGTCCAGGATAGCACGCTGTAAAAATGGTTGGCCGCATGATTCGACAAGTCTACCGGATAAGTACTCGTCAATGCTGCCAACGTGGAAGTCTATGGAGGGGAGATACTGCGCACGACGAAAGTTGCGTACGAGTTTGTAGGCAGCGTGGGTGTGCTTCGGTTTCTGGTCCAACGTATGGAGAATGGCGCGTCGGGACGCCCGATACCCGTCTAGAGCTTGTTCCGCCGCTGGTTCGAGATCAACACGTGTCAAGGACGGATTGCTCTTTGGTCTAAATTTCGCCTCGCAAATGGCGTGGCGTAACTTCGAGGAAAGAGGAGGGTTGGCTGCGTGGATGGCACGAGCAATATGCAGGGTTAGGCTGCCCATTCCTGTACCAGCCTCGAATATCTCGAACGGCGGTGCGTTTTCCTCATCTTCGTCTTCTCCGGGGCGAGAGGGATTCAAGTCTAACAAGGCAACAATAGTATTTGCATCGTGGGGGTAGATTGGCGTCGCATGTCGCTCGTTGTGGATGATGTAGCTCGAGAGGGTGGGTTCTTGTAGGACTACGCGGTTGCCTTTGCTGTCATGCACAACGTCGAGAAGATTCCTTCCAATTAGGTGCGCCGCAGGGACTGACGCCCCATATGAGAGCTTGACGTTGCTGTCTGCGTTCAGGGGCCCAGTCAGATGCCACTTGGGGTATTTGGAGCCTTGTTGTCGAAGGAAAAGCACATCGTGCTCTGCGAAGAAGATGAGTCGGTCAGCTTTCGTACAAGTTTGCCTCAAAGTGCCTTTCTTACCTTGTATCCTGCGGTTCGATGAGAAGGTTCTGGGTGTGCGCGTTGCTGTAGAGCACCGGCACAATGGTCGGTAATTGATGCGACGCATCGTTGCAGATAATTGAGATGATGGTGGTGGTGGTGGCTCAAAAGCTTCGAGGACTAGTGGGACTGCTGGGCTCGTTGGCTGGGCCGAGAAAATTCCGCCATGCTCGACGGCGACATGCAACAACAAATCAAAAGCAACTACCTAGGTAGGGAGTAAGTTGTTGAATTCTGAGCGACGCCTTGCCCGCTGTCGATGGGAGACAGAAGTGAGCCATCAATTCGTTGATCCTTGACAATTGGGCGTTGCCAGAGGGGCTCAACCAACGTTGATCATGCATCGACCTCGCGGCAGTATGGGCCAGACATACGAATGTAACAAATATAGAATGCCTGCATCCCCGTCATGATAGCACAAGACTATCAGAACGTAGTGGAATTCTTTATTGTATGCAGGCATATCTGCCCGTGGGAAAATTGTATTTGCAGTTGCAGATAAAGACGAAGAAGACGACTACCTCGTGACCTCTTTGCAAACGAGGGAAGGAGCACGGCCATTGCGACGGCCACTTCCTTCATCGTCCATGTTTTGGCGCTAGAGCCCCCGAGATAGCTCCTTCCAGTTCTTGTCTGCTTATTTTGACAGCCTGCCGTCCGTCCCGTATCCGTTCGTTGACCTCGTTATGATGAAAAAGAAACAGAACACAATCGACGTTGTACTCCTCCCGCTCCCAATCCATGGTGCTCTCAAGCTACGCCTCGCTATTCCCGCCCATCCACCTCCGTGCATTCGTTATAAAAATGGCAAACAAAAGACTTAAATCGCTTCTAATGGTACACAAAGGGCAGGTCTGTTGCGTGCCCTCGATAAACTTTCATATTCCTAACGCCGACCACATGAGACCAACCATCGAAAATCAGAGCCGGCTGACAGAAAGGGAGAATAATCCAAGAAAAAGTATCCGAAAATGATAAACCTGCTGGGCCGCCATGAGAGTGACCGGCGGCTGAATATGGGTTGATAACAGAGGCAGACAACCAAGCGAAACAAAAGAAACCAACAATTCTGCCGGAATGACGGCTGCGTTTCCTCGCCATCTTCCTTAATCACCCCTCGTTCAGGGTATATAATGTCGACTTCATGGGTATATGGTCCGCATACCTACACCTGCTATTTCTCGTCTTGCCCTTCCAACTGGTATGTTGCTTTTATTCCTAGCCGTGGTATGCATGTCAATTAATAACAAGTAGTTTCAAACAAGCGCCTGAAAAATCGACGCTGGCCACTCTGTTCGAGGCGCAACGCCCAGCAGGTGACCAACCCGATCAGATGAACGAGTATTTACCCGAGCTCATGTGACCCAGAGCAGAAGACCACGCCTCCTGTGCGTCAGGAGCATGGACGGCATGATGGAAGTCTTCTTCAAAGTATGGTTGGACCCTGACACCGACGTGCTCTTCCAAAATGGCCACGCCCGAGTCATATCGTCGCCGACATCTCTTGGTCCACGGATCTACCTTCACAGGGCTGTGATAACAGAAGACGTTGGGTTTAGCATCTCGAAGTCCGAACACCACACCCATGCTCTTAAGATGATTCCACAAATCGTGTGCTGCGTGTCGGGTCAAATCAGACTGGGAATTGACCACATACAGCAATTGCAAAATAGAGTACCGCAGGGTTAACGCGTCGGTGCTGTTCGTGCCGTAGCGTTGCTCTACTTGCCGCTGTTGAAGCCGAAGCTCGGAGGCCAGCTTATCGAGGCGATCGGCATTTACATGATTGTGAAACAGCGCAAGATCTATCCACGTCCTGGCGACGTATGGGTGACGACGGCTGTATATCGCTTCCAGTTCCTCCGCAATTGTCGGCATGCTTCCCCACAATAGTTCTGACACTGTTGCTGAGCCATGTTTCTGCTGGACTTCATACAAGCAAGCAAATATTTGACGAAGCGGGTGTGATCGCTCAAAGTTGGTTGAGGAATACGCAGCCAAATATTTGCAAAGAGCGGTCATCATGCCAGGATCACGATGCACCATGCCAAGCAACAGCTCGTTGATACCTAGTGGCGAGAGCTTCTTCAGGTCAAGTTCAAGTTGCTTGAAGGCCTTCATCAAAAAGTCGCCACCTTGGTCGGCATCCCGTGCTTCGAAGTAAAAGTTGGCTTCCAATAGTAGGTCGCTGGATCCGGCACCCCATACCATGGTAATTGGCCAACCGATGCGAGCATCGGTCTCGACTTCGAACTGGCGGCAGTGTAAAAATGCCTTTCGCATGTTGCCAACAACAAGCTCCTGCGCGCGAAGCAGGTCGGGAGATCGGAGATACCCAGGTGCCGGAGGTGGCGTCGGTGTTCGGCATCGGACATGAGCTGGCAGGTCAGCAGACAACTCAAAATCGACCAAGTCGTACTCAGTCACGCCCTTTCTCTTCAGATACGTCCCGAGATTCACAACTCTGCCATTGCGAACAAATTCGGAGACTTTTCCCTCTGCATCTCGCTGGAATTTCATCGACAGCAGTTTCTTTACTTCTTCCTCCGTGTTGTTTTTCACAAAACCCCACTGAGAGAATCTGGTCTTGTACATTTTAGGTCTAAATAGCGTCAGCAGGAGAACCACAGTGTCCATTCGTTCATTCACCAGTCGTCCGGTTCACAAACATACGTTGCTTGGAAGTTATATTTCTCTGCCATGATGGCCATCACTTCCTTAAGCGGTTTCCTGTCCTCCAGATACAACGACCGGATTGTCCCTTTAAATTGCTCCCAAGCCTCAGCAGGAACCTGTTCCCGTGACGGTCGAGTTCCAGCTTGGCCTCGAAGAGACAATGATCCAGGCTTTTGATCCTGACGCTTACGTTAGGATATACTATTACCACACCATGGCTGTTCCAACAGTGAGCACAATACTTACCGACAGTGTTGTGGACGGGGTTAGAGGAGTTGGTGTTGAAGATGCAAGGGGGATCTCGGATGGCGTAGGCGTCATTGGTTCTTGTTTAATCTCTGCTGCAAAAGAAGACGGCACTGGCGGGGGTACGCGTGGCCGCGGTGGTTTTGCTGGTGCCTTTCCCTTGGCCTTTGCACTCGGAATTAATTCCAAAATGAACTGGTTACCAATGCTAACGTTAGGTTTTGGGGTTGTCGGCACAGGAGGCTTAAGGAACCCGGCACTATTGGTCGAGTTTCTGCCGCCAATACTGTTTCGGTTGGTCGTGCTAGTTGCTGTGCTGTGAGAGCCGCTCGGGTTCATGAAAGTATTTGTGGCAGAAAGAGGAGTCGTGAAGTTGTTAGGTTGAGATTGATTCATTTTGGTAGTGGTGCTAGCAGTGGTGCCAGGGGGACGCCAAATCTCAAAACCTGGAGTACCGCCAACAGGAGCTGCGTTCGAATTAGAGAGAGACTGCGTCATCGGCGAGGCCACCATGGGTGATGATGCCAGATGCGAGTTGGGCATGGGGGAATGCGCCATCGGACTATGTATGCGGTTGTCTGACATGAAATCGTCCAGGTTTCCAAAATGTGCTGACGATGAACCTAAACCAGGGCTTGTTACTCTATTGTCTTGGAAGCTGTTGTACGACATGGCGGGTGGGCTGGCCGCCATCGGGCCTGTGACTCGTTCTAATGAGGTAAATGATCCCCAACTTTGGCCGGTGCCAGTGACTGGATTTGTAATTCTGTTTGGGTTGAATACTGAGGAGGCGGTGCCGCTGATCCCATTTCCGCAATACGACAGAGGATCGAAACTGAGGCTCGCCTGGAAACTATTCATGCTGATTGACGGATTTTGCACCGACTGCTGATGAGCCTGGTGATGAGTTTGATTGTTGTTCACACTGGTGTTGACAGGCCGCGGTGGAAGAGGAGGAGCTGGTTCGAACGACTTATTTTCAAATGGATTGAATCCCTTATTCTCGAAATGGGCGACTAAACGGCCAACCCCTCCACCAGTCTGAGGCGAACTCAGGGCCTCGAGCTCCATTGCTGTGTCGCCTTGGTGGTCTTGGTGTTCGTGGTGGCCATGGGTATAATTTGGTTGTACATCGGACGGTGTAGGGGCCCATTCCATGCCTCCAACATGGCTGAACGACTGGCGAGCATCATGGTTGTGCTCTGGTGCGAGGCCCGACGACGAGGGCGCTCCTTGGCCAAAATCAAACGCCGGCCATCCCTGGTTGTTGAGTCCATAGGAGTCTGTGTTGAAGTCAGAAGCCCTCGACTTGTCGGGAGGAAGATTAAACATGGCGACGAGCAGCCAAGCAGACCGAGCTTCAATGCCCTGTCCGCTGGCTGAAGGTCAGTCAGTGACGGGGACTCGAACAAGTCGAGAACCACGTCTTGATGCTCAGTCGCCAAAACAAGGATTCATCACTCGTCCAAAATGGCAAAGGGCTGGGCCGGGTAAGATTATCACGAACAGGATGACAGCACTGGCAGCCACTGGCGCCTCATAATCGCCGGTTTGAGGGAAAGAACTTGCAGCCAGCCAAATCGGTGCGGCAGTCAGAAAGACACAAGAGGAGGGTCAAAAGGAAGGAATGCTTGAGCTATCGCTACAGTTCCCCAGAATCGGCTGATGTGGGTAATGCGTTGATAGGACAGGTCTTTGGTCCAAATCGTGTCCCTGTATTGTGCACTGTTGGCAACACAGTAGGGGTCGCAGCGCTGTTCTGTGGAGGTACAAAAGCCACGCGCCTGAGTGAAGCCAGAGAGCAAAAGTTCCTTCGCCAAATTTTCCTTGAAGGGAAAGCACAATGGGTGGCTCAAGAGCCGCCGTCTGGGGAGGGCCTTTGCTGGGATGGGTTCGGCTGCGTGATAAGAGAGAGGCACTGCGACGAAGTGACGGCCAGGCTGCAGAGTCACGACGAGCACCCAGACGCACAAGCGACAAAGAAGAGATGGCAAGACAAGGTGAACGAAGTGGGGAGGGGAATACTTGTGAGCTGGGGGGAGGGAAGCAGTTGAACGAAAGAGGGGAATGTAACATGATGCGTCCTCAGCTCCGACGACAAGAGGACTGGCGAAGCAAATAATTAAGACGGCGGAGCACGAATAG